AGAATACTCTCACTTAGGACCCACCCACGTACAGTATGATCTTGTCTCAATACTTAACTTTCGTTACATCTGCAAAGACGCCATTTCCAAGTAAGATCACCTTCTGAGCTTCTAGGCAGACGTGAATTGTCGAAGAATACTCTTCAGCCCCTATAGTAACAAACTCTACGCAACTTAGTAAACGCAGATTGCAGCAAGTGGAATTCAAAGCGAAGGGTGCACCAGATAGACACCTACTAACTGAAAGCCTGCAGCCTGCCCTAGGCACCTCCTTTTCTGAGGAGATGAAGACCATCAGTTTATCCCGTGAATTGGTTACATGGAGATTACTTAAAACTGCTTCTATTTTTTCTCCTTCAAACTTGTATAAATGTGTCTGTTACTGTGTATATATAAAAATTTTACATGAGCACTTATTTGCTTGGAAGATTTTATCTAACCAGATCGTTCACTTGCAAAATTGAACAGAAGATAAAACATCGGTCTTGTCTTCTGTTGTCCTGATTCATATTTATTTGAATAGCCTGAACTTTTACAGTAATTGTGTTGCTTGTATATGACACCTATGAGAAAATGAGATAGAATCTTACTAAAGTGATATCCATATTTAAAATATCAACATCTAGAGGCACCTGGGCAGCTCAGTTGGTGAAGCATCTGACTTCAGCTCAGGTCATGATCTCACCGTTTCATGAGTTCGAGCCCTACATCAGGTTCGGTGCTGACAAGTGTGGAACCTGGAGCCTGCTTTGAATTCCCCTCTCTCTGCCCCTCCCCTGCTCACAAACACTCTCTCTCTGTCTCTCAAAAATAAACATTAAAAAATTTTGTTTTAATATCAATATCTAGACTATTCAGTCTAGTAACCTAGTTTGGTTTGCCTTCAATATTTCTCCAGTCATTAAAGGAAAATCAGAGGTTACCGAAATTCAATTCAGGGCATTTTATACCTATTTAATAATGCTGGGAAAAGGATTATTTGATTGGAGGATAAAAACTATTGGCTTAAAATAGTTAATGAGAGATCTGATTTTTAATTATCCTTACTATAATTCTTGCCCTTATACTACAGATAATTCCAAGAATTTGCTGGAATATTTTTAAATCCTTGTTATGAAACCCCATTGTAGTACATTTTACACATAAGCAAGATATGCCTTAAATAAATTTAAATTTGGGGTCATATTTTTTCTTAGAGTTGGGTTAAAAGCATTTTATCAGCCCCTCAGAATGCTGAACTGTATTTTGTCATGTAGCTCCTTCATAGCTACTAAGTCACCAAACCCTATAATTTGCTTAAATACTTGTTTTTCCCCTTTCGTATCAATTTGTAAAGGTAAAGATGGACAGGATAGGAATTTAAGTGGTTGACAGGCTTCAGTCTCAGAATGACTTTCTTCAAACAAACAAATGACCCTACTTTTATGATAAGATTCTTGTAACACTGTTTCCTTGGCTTTGGTTGGGTTTTACTCCTGTTTTGGTTTTTCTTAGTCTAGTGTTGGGATCATATAAATCTGTCCAAGTTGGATCTCGAATAAAATATTAATTGGGATTTAGAACTATTAACATACTTATTTATGTAAATAGCATGGTTTTGAAAATTTGGTAGTTTTAGAAACTTCAACAATGAGTAATTTTTTAAAAGGTTTTCAACTTTAGCATGATTTTAGGGAATATGAATAGTATTCTTTTTCATTCTCTACCTGAAGCATTTTTTGGAAACAGATGTCTGCATTTGATTAATGTGACCAAATGAAACCTACAGTACTACAAATAAAGATCTGGCCATATTAAACTTCTTTTGTTGAGGAGAGCGACTTCTCTAATCAGTGTTTCTTTAAATTTACATTAAAATCTGTATTGCTGCTTCATTATTTTGCTTCATTCTTAGGGAAGATTTGAGTAGAATTCCTAATTATCAACTAGGTTTTCAACTTCAATTTGCTTGAAGACAAATGTAGGAAACATATTCGTTAATTAAAAAAAAAAATTGGGGGGGGGGGGGGCGCCTGGGTGGCTCAGTTGGTTAAGCATCTGGCTTCAGCTCAGGTCATGATCCCACAGTCCATGGGTTTGAGCCCGGCATCGGGCTCTGTGCTGACAGCTCAAGAGCCCTGAGCCTGCTTCAGATTCTGTGTCTCCTCTCCACCCCTCCCCGACTCATGCTCTGTCTCTATCTCTCTCAAAAATAAATAAACATTTAAAAAAAAATTTTTTTTTAAATTTTTTTAATGTTTATTTACCTTTGAGAGAGGCAGAAACAGAATGCAAGTGGGTTAGGGGCAGAGAGAGAGGGAAACAGATCTGAAGCAGGATCCAGGCTCCAAGCTGTCAGCACAGAGCCCAACGCGGGGCTCAAACTCGAGCTGTGAGATCATGACCTGAGCTGAAGTCGGCCGCTCAACCGACTGAGCCACTCAAGCGCCCAAAACATATATATTAATTTAAATTGGAGCTCATATGAGCTCACCTACAAAAATTGGCCCATAGGTCCAATCCCACACCCCCTCAAAAAAACCTGAAAGAATATGTACTAAAATCGTAATAATGGTGATCTAAACAATGACTTTAATTTTTTTTAATGTTGATTTATTTTTGAGACAGAGACAGAGTGGGGAGGGGCAGAAAGAGAGAGGGAGACACAGAATCCAAAACAGGCTCCAGGCTCTGAACTGTCAGCACAGAGCCCAACACGGGCCTTGAACTGCAAGATTATGACCTGAGCTGAGGTTGGCAGCTTAACCGTCTGAGCCACCCAGGCACCCCTAGTATGTTTTAAAATACCTACAGTAAACCTATATCAGTTTTATTACCAAGAGGGAAAAAAAACTTTTTTTATTTTTTTTTATTTTTTTATTTTAACGTTTTATTTATTTTTGAGACAGGGAGAGACAGAGCGTGAACAGGGGAGGGTCAGAGAGAGAGGGAGACACAGTATCTGAAACAGGCTCCAGGCTCTGAGCTGTCAGCACAGAGCCCGACGCGGGGCTCGAACTCACGGACCGCGAGATCATGACCTGAGCCGAAGTTGGCCGCTTAACCGACTGAGCCACCCAGGCGCCCCGAAAAAAAACTTTTTTATGAAAAGACAATTACTATGAGCACTGGAAATATGTATTAGGCCAAATTTATTATATCTCTGCCACCTGTATTAGTCTGCTAGGGCCACCATAACAAAATACCACAGACTGGGTGGCTTAAAGCACAGTAATTTATTTTCTTACAATCCTGAAAGCTGAGAGCCCAGTGTGTCTGCAGGTTGGGTTTGTCTCAAGGCCTCTCTCCTTGGCTGGCCGATGGTGCCTTCTCCCTGTGTCCTCACATGGCCTTTCCTCTGTGTGCTTGCATCAGTGGCATCTCTTTCTCTTCTTATAAAGACGCCAGTCGTATAGATTAGGCTCTTAACTCTTATGACTTTATTTAACCTTAGTTACCTCTTCAAAGGCTCTGTCTTCAAACACAGTCACATTGAGGGCTAGGGCTTCAACATAGGAATCTGAGACACAATTCAGGAGACTTAATTCAGTCCTTACCACCACCAGTTCCTGGCTACCATAAAACAAAAATTTCCACCTCTTAATCACACATGGAAATAAATTCAATGTGAAGAGACTTCAATGGCAAAGTACACTGGAGAGGTAAAACAATTACATGGGTAATTTAGGAACAAACATAAGCAGTAAGAGGGGAAAGGGCCTGAATTGCCTAAATATTTGACTTTCCTTGACCAATTTTACATTTGCTTTCTCTATATGCTACAATTATAGAAACCTGATATTTTTGAGTCTTCGATGTACCTGCAGCATGAACTACTCTGCTGCAAATTAGATCACATTAGTTAGTGCTAGAGCCCAGCCCCATTTACAGGGCATCTGATCAAAGGTTAGACGTGGCAGTTCTACCAGTATGCCATTTGGCTTCAAAGACGTCCAGTTAAGTGGCTGTCCGTGTCCCAGCAGTTTAATCTGAAATTAAAAACATACACAGAAATGTCTTCACACGTATCTCTTTGACTCACCCACTTTATTGCGAAAGGGTAGCTGGTATTTCTTTAAAACACTGTAGACAAGAAACTCAGCTTTTGCTTTTATTTAGTGGTTCACAAGTTATTTTAACCTTTGGTCCAAATGAGTGCATACGTGCGTCTTACTCCTATATTCCTGTCAAGTAAAAGTGTCCAAGAGTTGGAAGAGAAGAACTGTAAAGGCTGAATAGTGTTAGAGTAGGGAAAACACTGAAGAGAGGACCAGGGAAAATGACTCTGGACCAATCTGCCCAATGTAAGACTTGCATAGTTCTTTCCCTTATCCAGGAAGCTACCCTTCCTCCCCAGGTTTTCCAGTAACTGATCAACAATACATAAGTCTGATCAAATACTACTGTAATTGTTTTATATCCTTACTCTTATACTAAATGGGTTTAAATATGTTTTCTACATATCTATGGCTATTTTGAACGAGAAAACTTTGCCTATCATGTGGAACAACACAAAAACAAAACCCATGAACTTTTAAGATTACAGTATTAATGGGGCCAGACAAAATATAGATAAAATAAAAAGATGATGTCATACCCACGCCACTAAGCTGTAATTAAACATCAAATGTGAACTCCATCTTCCTTTCTGCCAGATCAACCACAGTGTTAGAAATGAAATGTGGAAAGATGATACAAGGAGAAGCATATGGACAATCTACATCCAAGGAAATTGTTTCTTAAAAACAAGCTATAAAATGCATCAAAATGAACTCAATACCAGATCTGTCGCCTACAACTGTTAGATTAACTTCCTCCAGATTTTTTTAATGACCTTAAAATAGTACGACTACAACATCTTACTTTTATTCTGATGTATTCTGGGATGGGATGTCTGGGAAAGAACCTGAGTTTGCTTTACTCATTTATTTATTTATAAATTCCAGAATCATTTTGGATGCTTCCAGAACTTGAACAACATAAAATAACTGTAAAAAAGAATATCTATTTTACATTGATACGCATGGAGATGTATTTTAAGTTTAGTTTTCTGGGAAATGAAAAGAAAATTTTCAAAGGTTTGGCCAAACATTGCCACTGATGAAGTTCATTTTAAAATTACAGGTATCGGGGCGCCTAGGTGGCGCAGTCGGTTAAGCGTCCGACTTCAGCCAGGTCACGATCTCGCGGTCCGTGGGTTCGAGCCCCGCGTCGGGCTCTGGGCTGACGGCTCGGAGCCTGGAGCCTGTTTCCGATTCTGTGTCTCCCTCTCTCTCTGCCCCTCCCCCGTTCATGCTCTGTCTCTCTCTGTCCCAAAAATAAATAAAAAACGTTGAAAAAAAAAATAAAATTACAGGTATCCCCTACAGTCAGTGTTACGCCATTTCACTTTTATAAAAGGCCTAGGGTAGTACCTATTTTTGTAACTGAAAGAAATCTAAAGAGGACTTTCACTTTTACAAAAAAAAAGTGAAAAGTAAAAATAGCATTTAGCGTTTGTTTTGCAGAGAGCCGTTTGAGAAGCAGTGCACACCCCAACAGCAGCGAGTGGTAACTCCAAGTTCCTTCCTATACTCAGCATTTCAGCATCAAGCCGCCATAGCTTTGAACTGAGTCTGTGAGCATCTGTGCTTTGTCTCCATTCAATTTGTGCATCCATTAGCAAGATGTGTTCTAAGGGATCAGAAGAGCTCTTCTAAGAGAGGTTATTGTGGGGGTCTAGGACTGTTCAAACAAATTTCCACATAAATTAATGGTAATTGCTTCTTTGCTTTACACCATTTCAGCTTATGAAAGATTTCATAGGAATGCTCTGCTTTCGGATGTGGTGGGAGAAAACCCATATCTCATGAGGTATAAATGGAACATACGTAAGGCTCTCCTTGAAGTTAAAAGTTTAATTCTGTTTTTCCCTAGGATATGCTAGTTAGCAATTTAAAGACACAATAAAGATAAAATCTCCTTACCTCTGTTGCCCCCGGGGTAGCGATGGGTTGGCCAAGAAACAGATGTCTTGATGTGGGCCATTTAAGATATATGGCGTAGACCAACTTTTGTTTAGGTTTGGATGTGTACCTGGTTAAAAGGAGGAAAAGAGCATAGTGGTATTCCTCATGTGTAAGGTTTGGGATTATTTTGCAGAGATACTTTCATGCAGTAAATATTTACCCATGTCTTCATTAATAGAAGGAAAAAATAGCTCCATGGTAGAGTAAAAAGCACCCAAAGAGGGTTCCCAATTCCAGTGTGTCTTTGGGGGGCTGGAGAGGGGGTTCCTCACCCCCAACAAGCAATTCTCCAACACCAGCTGGGTGTCCTACAATTCAACTTAATTCTGACACTATCTACGTGGAGATGGTGTCAGATTCCACAGGTCAAGGATTCAGTCCTACAAGACTGCTTGCCTGCACCACTCAACTTCAGACACCAATCCCAAGTCCAAGGTATCACCTGGTCTTCTAACCCACCAGCTACAGATGGGAAGTTCCAACAACCTTTTCCCTGGGTTCAATTAATTTTCTACAGCAGCTCACAAAACTCAAACATTTTACTTACTGGCATACCAGTCTATTATAACAGGATAAAACTCAGGAACAGCCCAAGGGAAGAGACGCATAGGGCAAGATATGGGGAAAGGGCATGGAGCTTCCATGAACTTTCCAGGCACACCCCTCTCCCAACAACGCTGAAGCTCTCCAAACCCCATGCTTTTGGGTTATATGGAGGCTTCATTACATGGTTATGATTGATTAAATCACTAGTCATTGGTGACTGATTCAACCTTCAGCCTCTCTCCTCCTGGAGGGAGGGACTGAAAGTCTCCAGGCAACCAGCCTCACCCTTGGTGAAGTGGAAAAGTCACCTCATTAACATAACAAAAGACATCTGTATAGTTCTCATCACTCAGGAGATTCCAAGAGTTTAAGGAGCTCTGTGCCAGAAATGGAGACAAGACCAAATATATACTTGTTATCATAAATCATAATATCATAGCACCTCCCTCCCCCACTTCCCCTATACCAAAAAGAAGAGACTTCTCTTTTTTTTAACGTTTATTTATTTTTGAGACAGAGCATGAATGGGGGAGGGGGCAGAGAGAGAGGGAGACACAGAATCGGAAGCAGACTCCAGGCTCTGAGCCATCAGCCCAGAGCCAGATGCAGGGCTCAAACTCACGGACCGCGAGATCGTGACCTGAGCTGAAGTCGGACGCTTAATCGACTGAGCCACCCAGGCGCCCCAGAGACTTTTCTAATATTACTCTTCATCAGACTGTTCCCATGGAGTTGGAAATAGGAGGGAATTATGAGCAAAGAAGGTAAGATGCAGGAGTAAATGGCTTTCCACCTGATTCAAATCTTCATACTCCCTCATGAAAAAGTCTGTATGTGTCAATGCTGGGCCAAGTACTGACGCTGGTGTTAGGGATACAACAGAAAACAAAACACTTAATTCTTATTCTTATGGAACTTAGACTAGAGTGACGAAGACTCTATTCAATAATCACACAAATAATGTCAAAGTGTGAGTTTTGATAAGCACAATGAAAGAACAGTAAATTGAAAGGTTATAAAAAAGGGACCTCTTAGATTAGACCATCAGCGGGGTGCCTGTGTGGCTCTGTCAGTAATGCCTCCAACTCTTGACTTCAGCTCTGTAAGAAATAAGCCCACTGACCCAATCAAAGGACGGGCACAGAGACTCTGAGCACAGTGAAGCGAGGCTTTAATCAACATTCTTGCAAGAGCGGGTGTCTGATGGACAGGCACAGTCGGAGCAGTTACAGCAGGCAATTTATCTCCTAGCGTGAAGTCCCTCCCAATTCCTCATTTGGCCGAGTACTACAGAGGTTACAGCCTTACCCGGAAGTCAGCTATGCCCACGTAAGGCAAAAACTAGTCTTTTTGTACAAACATACATTCCTTGAGGTGACACAGAGACTTCAGTTCTTTGGCACATGCCCATTACAAAACCCGCGAAAACTAAGCCCACGACATGGCGAGGGGAAGAAGAACCAGGAAGTGAAGTGAAGTTTGGGACTCCATTGGGGGGGTACATATTTCCAATAGGTTGTAAACCTATTGGTAACTCTATAGCACAGCTTTTATTTGGTATTTCTCAAAACAAATCATTTCATTTACTTCTCATAGGCTCAGGCCATGATCTCACAGTGGTTTTGTGGGTTTGAGCCTTGCATTGGGCTCCATGCTAACAGTGCAGAGCCTGCTTGGAATTCTCTCCCTCTCTCTCTCTGTGCCCTCCCTCACTCGCACTCTTTCTCTCTCAAAATAAATATTTTAAAAAAATGTTTTAAATGAAAAAAAGATTAGACCATGAGCAGAAGCCTAAAAAAAATGACATTTCATCTGAGACTTAGACGATGAATGAGAAAAAAGGTAAGAGTAAGCTCTACACAAAACAGAACTCACTCATTCTTAGTTTTTCAACGTTTATTGAAATCTTAAAATGCTAATCACTGTTTTAGAGCTGGAGACGCAGCATTGAGCACAGTCCCTGTCCTCATGGAGCTTATGTGGTAGTGGAAAAAATTAGAATAAGCACGTGATGATTAAGTTCTATGGGGAAAACTGAAGCCAGGTGAGGACAGAGCATGCAAGGTTGGAAAGGAGGGATGTGGTTGTTATTTTAAATCTAATAGTCCACCTTTGAGGAGGTGGCATTGAGGAGACCTGAAGAATGTGAGGAAGAGCATGTGAGTATCCAGAGGAAGAGAGAACAGCAAGCAGGAGTATGCTTGGCCGGCTGACATGGCAACATGAAGGGCAGGAGAGAAAGTGAGGGGAAGCATGATGGCAGATAAGATCAGAGACAGCAAGGAGCCAGTTTTTATAGGACCTTATAAGCCTCTGCAAGATCTGGCTCGTTCTCTGAGACCGGAAGCCATTGGAGGAATTTGAGCGTAGTAGTGACATAACCTGGCTTTATTATTTCAAAGATTTTGTGGCAGAAAGATGAAAGGGGCAAGGATGGATGTAAACAGATCAGTCAAAGAAGCTTATAATCCAGGGGAGACACAATAGAGACTAAAAGAATGAGACATGGTCAGATTCTAGATCTACTTCAAAGAGAAAAATGATACTTGCTGACGGATTGGCCGTGAAATATAAAAGGAGAGTTGAAGACTCCCAAGATTTTTGGCCTCACAACCACCTAAAAGGGTGAAGCTGTCATTAATTGAGTTTGTGAAGACTGCTTGGAGCTAGTTTAGAGCAAAATTTTAAAATTAGGACCTCAGTTTTAGACATAACAGGTTTAAGGTATTTATACTTCCAAGTGGAGATGTTGACCAGGAAAGCGAATGTAAGTCTGGAGCTCAAGAAAAGGTCGGCACTGTAGAGGTCATCGGTATGGCATCTAAGGCTGTGAAAATGGATGTGACTGCCTGGGGAATAAAGATAAAGAGGAGGAACAGAAGCCCAAGGACTAAGCCCCAGGCACTTCAGAGTATAATGGTTGGCAACTGGGGGTGGAATCAGCAAAAGACACTAGGAAGGAGCAGCCAACGAGCAGAGGTGGCGTCAACAGAGTCACATGCTGCCACAAACTCAGAAAACGGACCACGAAGTCACTCTGGATTTGGTGAAGGACGGGTTATGGAGGGCTTGGATAACAGCGATTTTCTGAAGTGTGGGGGCGGAAGCCTGACTAGAGTGGGTGCAGGAGAAAACTGGAGCAAGAACTGAAGATAGCCAGTTTAAAAAAAAAACTTTTAACATGTTTTACTATCAAAGAAATGACAGAAACGGGGAGGTAGCTGGAAATCTAAGGGTCAAAAGAGTACTTTTTTAAGATGAAAGAAATAACACATTTGAATGCTGGCAGGAAGGCTCTAATAAAGAGGGAAAGTTGAAGATAAGGAGCAAAGGAGAGAACTGCTAGAAAAATATCCTCGAGTGGATAATTTGGGATGGGACCCAGGACACAAGGGTTGACCTTAAAGCCAAAAGAAAAATAATCTGGTATTGTGTGTGTATGTGTGTCTGTGTATTTCTAGTCACATTTTAGCTACCCATGGGCAGGCATGGAATGAGCAGAGCTAAATTTAACCAGAGTTGAGTTTTTAATCAAAGTCAAGTGAGTATGACAGAGAAAGAGTGTATGTCATGGAGTGACAAGCCACAGAATCTGACCTGGATAAGGAAAAGGGCTGAGGAACAGAAAAAAAGTGAGGGGGTCACAGATTGGTATCATCAGTGGATTACAGATCCTTTCAGAAGCCGAAGTGCTATGTGGAGTGAGCTGAAATTTAAAAGGTGTTTGGGACTGGCTCAGTCGGTTGAGCGTTGGACTTCAGCTCAGGTCCTCATCTCACAGTCTGTGAGTTCGAGCCCCGTGTCAGGCTCTGTGCTGACAGCTCAGAGCCTGGAGCCTGCTTTGGATTCTATGTCTCCCTCTCTCTCTCTGCCCCTCCCCCACTCATGCTCTGTCTCAAAAATAAATAAAAACATT